AGAATGAGAGTAATTCTTAAAAATRATAGTAAAGCAGCAATTTGATTTGCTAAAATGATTTGCTATGCAAACTCAATTTGCATTGTTAATTTGAGTCCCTGGGGATTATGCAAATGAGATAATAAAAGATGTTCCAGAGTCCCCTTTGTGTCACTCTASTCGAGGCAGCGTCGCGAGAAACATCATCTTCTCCCCACCCGCCCACCCAAGGAAGCCGGGCTTGAATTGCCTTACTCATAAGTACTTACTTCTATCGCTTTGGCCTAGGCGTGTCCCAGGCCATCGCTATCCCATTACTTATCACTATCTCATGAATAACAATACCCGGGGATGAATATTACACTATTTAGAACGATTTCACCGGATAAAAAATGCTAATGAGGATCAATTTATGCTAATACACATTACACAATGAGAATAGCTTGTATCAAATTGTTATCCCGTGCGAAAAAGCCATGGATACCATGAACGCTGTCACTACAATGTTGGCTAAAACTGCGTAAGAAAAAAATGAACAAATACGCGATAAAACCTTGTATTTTTAAGAGCAAAATTACTCGGACTTGACTATTGAACAAACATGATCGCAAATTTAATCTGTACGTCAACTAAGTAAAGCATTCATCAAAATCCTTGTTGTTCCATGTGTAAAATCGTGTAATGTGTATTAGCGTAAATTGATCCTCATTAGTATTTCTTTTTATCCGGTTATGTGAAATCGTTCTATTATGCATATTAAAATATGTTAATAACAGAATATATTACATGGTTGGTAGGATATTGATTGTTCTCTGCACTCACAGGTACATGGTGAAAGATCTTTTCAACACTTGAAGATCAAATCTATATCACCTTAATCACATTAAAATTTTGTACAGAATATAAAATCAAGAAATGCAGAACGTTGTTTTTACCATGAATAATTGGTGAATTCTTCATTTGCATCACTTGTTTATTTACAAAATTTACTATTATTTACATATTTCATATTAATCTACAATTCTGTATTTCAGGATGTCATGTCCCTTGGCTGTTTTTGATCTCTTGATATTCTTTCATTTCTTTTGGAAATGCTTTTGTCAGTTCTCCTGTTAGTAGTGTCTTGAAATTCTGAAAAGCAAGAAAAAGGTTTCAACCAATCAAAATTATTCCTAGAAGAGTAAAAAAAGCCCCTGCCACAATGATTGTAGTGTATGGTGCAGAAGACAAAGCAATGTTGACATCAATTTAGGCATCCTTTTAGTGTTAATGGTCAAATATTACCTTGAGTGAATCTATTTTTCCTTTGACCTGTTCATTCTTTATTAAAGCTTTTTCCAAGCAATCTTTTGTATAAAGTTGTGGATTTCTCCCTTGATCGATATATCTAAGAAAACATGCAAATACTTTACATCATGTAAAAGCCAGTCGGACATCAGGGTACAGTGAAGGGGGCCTCTGCTCATTTTACAATTTTGAAAAAAAAAGTAAAGAATTTCACAGAAATCTATGAAAATYATTTATTGTGTGTATAAGTATTTCATTTCTTTTATCAAATTCAGAAGGTATTTTGCAGTAACAGACAGTAGAAAGTAGAAATTCCTATTAATATTATGTCTGCAGAAAATGCAAGTCTCTGATAAACACAAACATAAACAGACACAACACACACAGTGATGGATTAGACTAAAAAGTCATACTGTATATACACAGTCAATGAATGAATCCCACAATCAGGGCCCAATCAGTCATCAGGACTATCTGATAATCCAACATAAATCAATAATAACCAATTAATCAATAAATGAAAGACGTGAATATGATATTTACATTAACTTTAGTACAAGAACATGTGACACAGGCGGGCARAATACTCACTCAAATACTTCCAGAGGAACCTCTACATCCTTCACAAGGGCTTTACACTTTTCGATCTCTTTCATGTTATCAACCATCATATTACTGCAGTAAAAACAAAAATTTATAACTAGTCTTTTAAATCTGAGATCAATGTTTATAAAAAAAGTAAGATCGTTACCACAAAGATGTTTTTAATATTGAAATGTCTCAAAACATGCGAAGCAAAACATCCATTATTTMCTGAACGATTTTTCTCTTTCTCTAACTACAATGAACACCTACATTTTTTGATTTAATACTCCTTGACTTCCAGGTTGAAAATCACTAACAATGATGCCAATTTGTCTAGTAGATTCCATAAATTGTTCGATGGTTTGTTCAAGAAGTTCAAAGGGTTCAGCTGGCTTGTCGTCCGCCATCTTGACGCACCAAAACTCCAGGGGGAGGGGGASATTTACATTCCACAGRAAGCCCATAYATGTTGTCATGAGCGGTCGTCTTGTACCAGACAAAGATGGSCTCTCCATTGTTTCTYGGTTTTGATCTAAGTACTCAGCAATTAAAAGCTTTGGCTATCGATGAAAAGCTCAGTGTAGTTCATGAAGCATCCGTCCACTTTGATAATGACTTAACAGAGTTCAAAACTCGAGGGGGAGTTCATCAAAATGAGGACAACCTTACAGTCACTGCTCCAACTCTGATGTGGGTCAAAGCTTGGGACCTATTGTTCGCAAAGATGAAAGACAGTGGTTTTGATTTTCAGTCCGTTGTGTGTCTATCCGGTACTGGGCAGCAACAYGGTAGTGTTTTCTGGCGAGAWGGATCAAGAGARACATTGAAAACGTTGACAAAASAACAATCTTTCTATGACCAGCTGAAAGTAATATATAATTTATTGATTATTATTAAATTAGCAAWTGATTATTAATACTTTATTAATATCAATTTGTTGTTCAGAACTGTTTTGCAGTGAATGATTCTCCTATTTGGATGGACTCAAGCACTACATCTCAGTGTCAATCTCTTGAGAGTGCCTTGGGTGGTCCAAAGAAGGTTGCTGAAATAACAGGCTCAAGGGCATATGAACGCTTTACAGGCAATCAGATCRCCAAGGTTTATCAGACTAAACCTGATGCTTATGAAAAGTGTGAAAGAATCTCCCTTGTCAGTAGTTTTGCTGCTTCTTTATTCATCGGTGATTATGCCCCGATTGACCTGAGTGATGGCTCTGGCATGAACTTATTGAACATTGAAACTAAAGACTGGGAGAATGACTGCTTAAAGGTGATGGGAGATATAATAGTGATATTATAAGAATGCTGCTTGATATATGCAATTAAAAGTYAAAAAGTTATTACAAATAGCAATAGATTGCTGTAGTCAAATCTACTTACAGTACAAAGGTGTGATTTTATAATTGATTCCTCTTGCTTTTGCTATTTGCAAATTGTGAGTGGCAAATCAATTGCTTAAATGTGTAGAAATGAAAATAATGATAGCTAAAAATACCACATTTGGATTGGATTTCTAGATATGTCATATCGGTCATTTGCATATTGTATAATATTCTTATTTTAATKTACACAATGGTGTTTTTATTTTCAAGGCGTGTGCACCAGGTCTCAGAGAAAAGTTAGGCTSTCCTGTTCCATCTTGCTCCATTGTTGGCAATATTTCCAAGTATTTGGTTGAMMGATTTGGRTTTTCTCCTGAATGTAAAGTTGTTGCATTCACTGGGGATAATCCAGGTTCCCTTGCAGGTATGAGACTTGATAAAGGTGATGTTGCCATCAGTCTCGGAACAAGTGACACAYTRATGTTGTGGATTGACAAACCATCTCCTGCCCTTGAGGGTCACATCTTTGTTAATCCTRTTGATGGTAAGTAACTTACATGTAAAATGCACAACTCCATTAYGCGWCTGRTCACAGATTGTTTGATTGGCMTTTTTTACAGAAAAGGCATACATGGCTCTTCTTTGCTTCAAAAATGGATCTCTAACAAGAGAGTCAATTAGGAACAAATGCTTTGGATCAGACTGGGAACARTTTAACCARGCCTTAACATCTACATCACCTGGAAATGATGGCAACATTGGGATATACTTTGAAGTGACAGAAATCACACCACCTGCTAAAGGTGTCTATAGRTTCAATGCTAAAGATGAAAAAGTTGAATCTTTCTCAAAGAATACAGAGGTCAGAGCACTCGTTGAGGGTCAGTTTATGKCAAAAAGGGCCCATGCAGAACTTCTGGGCTATAGTCTTGGTAAGCATTACATTATTTTATATCATTTGATGGACAGCAAAACTAGGGGTATAGAATGGTGTCTCAGAAATTGGGAGGCTTTCCAAAAATTTCCCGAGGCTCACAAGCTTGGTGCTTAAAAAAGGGGCTCGGGTTTGAATTTGCCTTTGGCTGGGAAGATTGCAATTGATGAAATATCAGACTCGTCCAGCCAATGGCTCGGGCTCAGATTTTAAAACAAGGGGCTCGCAGGCTCGGCGAGGCTCGGATTTACCATTCGATACCCCTAAAACGGAAGAAAAAGCAAAATTAAAGCAATCAAACAAACAAACATAAAAAAGAGACAAACCTTCAGCTTATATTTGMCACTTCAGCCTAATGAAGATCTGTTATCCAAGTTGGTCCTTCATCATGTTTTTCAGACATGCACTACATGTATGTTTAAGCCAAACTCTCACCATGATTTTTGGCTGAAGGAGATTGTCAGCAGACCTTGAGAATCAAACAAGGATAACATCCATCATTGATACATTTAGGCTTTTTCATTCAGCTCTCATCATTTCTAATGTGTGTGTTATKTTTTAATGCAAAGCTCAAGATTCAAAGATTTTAGCTACAGGAGGAGCATCTTCAAACAAGTCGATCCTTCAAGTCCTAGCTGATGTATTCAATGCCCCTGTTTATACCATCAAAGACACAGCCAATTCAGCTTGTTTAGGTTGTGCATACCGTGCAAAGCATGGCTGGCTTGGGACAGACAAGCACCCATTTAAGGATGTAGTCCACAATGCACCACCCTACCAACTAGCTGTTCAACCATGCCCTGACGCCAAAGAGATATATACTTYATTAACTGCTAGATACATACAACTTGAGAAGAGTATTAAAAAATTCTAATATATATATATAATTCTAAAAACCAGAGAGTCAATCTCAGAAAATATTTAGATTTTTAATAATTTATATTTTTGAAMAATCAAATAAAAAGTGGGAAATGGATCAAAATTGAAAGAGAAAGAAAATTGTCAAACATTGTTGTGGAAAAAATTGATTGCAATCATGTTATCCCAATTTTTCAGGAAATGAACAATGATGATAATTATTGTATAGGGGTTTGAGGGAGAGGATTTTACGGAGGGGGTAATAACCACCCCACCCACCGGCCCTCCTATTTTTAATAAAACCTTGATCCTCACCTGAAGTTGCATAATATCTCCACATTATTGCACACATTGTAATGATTTTGAGTTATTATGTGTAATGCTGATAAATTCATTTATTAAAATATTGGATTTTGCACAAATGTATGTTTGGAGTGGATTTCCTGTGTAATTGCCGAAATGAGCCAGCGAGCTGCGCAAAACTGTCAGCGGAAGAATATAACCCATAATATCGCTCGTTCCTGCCACATGTTTGTCTCAGCTGAAGACTTCTGTGAACGAATTCGTGTTTTTTGTTGATATTTTGCTAATACTAATACTGAAGGTAAGATCAGAAGGTAGTTTAATGTTTGCCCTTAATTTTTCTATGAAAATATCGAGAAATTGGGCGCATTTGAATCCCCCAGGCGACTGAGTTTGCGAAAGATTAAGCGCTTCTCGAAGGACGACGCTTTCCTTGCCGCATCCTTCTAATTTAAGTGTTTCAGCTTCAGAAATCGTTAATTGAATTTTGCTGATGTTCATTATATCTTTTTCAATCAAATAAATCATTTAACACAGTTTAACTTCAATACACGGTTGCAAAGGTCCTTCACGTCGTTTTACTAAAATGTCTGATCRAGGATGATCTTTGACGAACTGTGCGTCGGCTTTAGATGCATGCAGCTGTTGTTTTTCTTCTGTCAAATCTCTCTATCCAGTCTTGACAATTTGCGTTTTGAAAACTTATTACATCAATCTTTGGTACCATGGCTTTGTTTCTTTGTTGGTTTGTCAGTTGGGGTATATATGTAATATTTCCTGGAAATAAAGTCTTTTTGGCTTTTAATCCAGAGAATTTTCCCGATGTTTTTGTGTGTGCATGTGTTTATTCATCAGAGATTGGATAGCAAGATATTTTGCTATTTGCTTGGTTCTTGGACATTTTATGTGGCTCAGCTAGTGATAATTTGTAGATACCAGTGAAAAAAAAAAAAAAAAAAAACAAACTAATAATAATGATAATAGTAATTAAGAATATCAAGAGTGATGATTTTGAGCAGATTTCGTATGACTTCGCAATATCACAGATCACCTAATGTACAACAAACATCATGGTCGAACTGCTTGCCTGGTATTGATGCCATAGARACCATTAACCTAAATCATGACTACAGTACAGACAGGTCACTACACAAAAGTAGCRTCATTGAATGATGCTAATATCAAATTTTGTTATTCACTCTCATCCRAAATCTGCTGTTAGTATTTTCTAAAGCAGTAAACCATAAAATAAAATCTTCTGTATTTTTTATCAGTGACTAACACTACATACTTGTCAATAACTTGAAGAAGTGCATAAGCAAAGCATTCCAGTTATGGAAAAGAAAGACGACAGACCAAGGGGTAAATCACCCGAAAGAGACAGAAGAAGAGCTGAAATTCGCCACGAGACAAACAGAATGGATCCACACTCAGTGCGCTGCAGAGTGTTTATAGGAAATCTCGCAACAGATAAGGTATCTCGGCAGGAATTAGAAGAAATCTTCAGCAAATATGGCCACATAAGTGGGTGTTCTTTGCATAACAACTATGGATTTGTGCAGTACGAAAATGAGAAGTCGGCTGATGAAGCTGTTGCCAAGGAAGATGGAAAACTTATTCTTGGAAAGAAAGTTGGTATGTACATGTACATGTATTCGTTACAGTGTATTTTGTACAACAGCATGGACAACAATCAGCACTGTTACAGAGTCTGCCTTTGAAAACATTAAGAGAAAGCAAGTGGAATGCAGCATTTGCTGTAATTTTTGCTCATTCATATGAAATCTGCTCAAATTCACTCCTTTGTGATATTAAGTTACAAGATATCACTTTTGTTTTGACCTGCTTTGTTAATATAAGTTAGGCCATTCTTGCAACAAAACATGTTGATAAACAAAGGAAAGCATTTTTCCTTTGATTTTAATTAATATAAATTTTTCATCTTGCTCTTTAGATACAGTATCTTTCCTTTGAAATTTAATTTTTGCGATGAAGCACTAAAACTAGAAGTGTGCAGCATAAACTTCAATAAAATATGCTAATTCCAATGCTTTCTATTCCCATTAGCATTATATTCCTCTAAATAATACCAAACACATTGTAAATCTTTAATGTCTGTTCTCTATCTCTTTACACGTTAAAAAAGTGAAAGGGGAAAATGAAATATTTTGTATTTTGAATCCCTTTTCTTTTAATCAATCCTCTAGACGTACACTTAGTTTCTGACAAAAGAAAGAAAGGACCTCCTCCAGATATGAGAGATTCTGGAAGAGGTGGTATGAGRGGAGGAGGGCGTGGTGATAGAGAAAGACACTCACCCCCAAGAGAYAGAGGCAGAATGGATGACTACGGAGGAAGGTATCCCTCRAGGTTTGGACCCCCTGATGATGGGTTTGGAAGAAGACTTTCACCTCCAAGACGRGAAGGATTCAGAGAGCCGTTTGATAGACCWGATGACTTYCACCGAGAAAGATACAGGGATGACCCATATGACAGACGTGACCTACCTCCCCCCAGACGAATGTATGACGATAGAAGAGAACCATATGATTATCCACCAAGGGGGGATTCCAGGGGGGACCCTTATTATGATCGTGATTTTAGAAGAGATGGTCCAAGGAGAGATGAGTTCCGTCATGATGTACCCATGAGGGATGATCCTCGTAGGGACGATCTTCGACGAGATCCGCCACGCAGAGATGAACCACCACGCAGAGATGAACCATACAGCCGATATGACAATTATGGACGTGACTACCCTGACGATTATGGCCCCCCATCAAAGAAATCCCGACCAGAGTATGAATCAGATTATAACAAACCAATACAGGCCCCAACAGATTGTGTTGTTATTGTGGTGAATTCAGTATTGATGTAAGTATGTTTCAAAGCTATCAATCAACCTGCCCATTTTTGTTTTGCTAAGATACATGTAAATTATTTATTTGTGAATTGCACAAATCAATTCAGATCAATTTCACCACATTGTGGGCATATTTACAATGGACAAATTTGCTTTTGTTTATGTGCACTATTGGTACAGGTAGATGTTTTATACAACTAAGTATGCATTGCTTATCATGCTCTACACATTACATTACCAGAGGGGCAGATAATCGCTCATACTGCAATAACCATGCAAGCGTGTTTTGTTTTAGTGACTATGGTACTATGGTTGAAAGGAAGTTCAAGGATTCTGGTCTCGTGACTGACTTGCAGCTCCTTGGCATGAGGTCAATGGCTGAACTTCTTGATAGCATAACACGTCATGGTGTTCTTTATGCTGCTGTTGTCACTACGCAACACGAAGTCCACCGTTCTGTGACAATCAATATCCTTCATGGCACTCAACAAGGTAAGAGGTGTTGATTAATTTTCACACATGAAGCTACAGTTTGTCCAAGAAGAGTCTTTTGTAACAGGTAGTCTTTTGCTTTCTCTCTCTTACTCACACACAAACAAGGTATATGTATATCCAGGGATTCTGCAATTATGCGCGAAAAAAATGAAAATTATGCGGGATTATGCGCAAAATTATGCGCGATGACGTCACATCGCTTAAAACCTAAAATATGACTAATTCGGATTAGGAAACTCAGTTATTTTGTTTTGTTTTATAAAAGAATGGAATATTAAGCCTTATAGATACATGATCTTTTCCATTTAAACATAAGTATATGGCCAAAAGAGAGAACAATT